AGTGTCCTGTCTGTCGCACTGGCCACTCCCAGAAATTCCGAGTCCGCTGTCTCCAACGAGGCAATGCACCCCAGTCTTTAGTTTAGCTGAGGACCCGCACGTCACTTTAATGTACAGCACTGAGGGAGGTTTATAATAGAACAAGAATCAGTTTATTACTAAGGAACAGAAACTTAAGGGATATTAAGCAGAGATGATAGAAACAGAAAATGGTTGGAAATAAAACAAACTCAAACACACTTTCTAGTGTCTGAAATTGAACAGATTATAATCCTGGTCTCAAGCAATTTCTCACCTACAGTCAGTTCTCAGCATCCTCAACCCACATGGTTGAGGGATCCACCTTTCACAGATTCCAAGAACGCTGGCCCATTTTGTCCCTTCAGTGATGGATAGCTAAGGGTTCGCTCCCCTTTTTTCCTATAGTCCAGGGGAGATATAGTCTGGCCAGGGATCCTCACCCCTAGGGGAAAATGGGAGGCTGACGCACCCAAAGGACAACTCCCATGAGGTATCACAGCAGCACATGTGGACACAGTCTAATACTGAACCAGCCTTGAATCGAAATATTCTGACTCCATTTAGCAATCCAAAATATTTCAGTTTGGGTCAAACTGACATGAAATACTGTTTTGATGTTCTTGACAAAATCTAGTTTCTGTGCAGAAGATTTGGAATTTTTAGTTTTTTGATGAACATTTGAATTTGTCTGTGGAAATTTTTTGATGAAACTGAACATTTTTATATTGTTTTGTGGCATTTTTCTGCAGCTAAAACCCCCATTTTCCTACCAGCTCTAGTTAACACTTGTGTACGGGCCAAAGTCCTAGCAGGGACCAATGAAGACAGATGCTAGTGGCCAAGGAGCCACAACTTTTCTTAAAATAACTGAACAAGATAACCCTAAAGACGACCTGTTCTGGTAGCAGTGGAATGGGGTAAGGGAGAGGAGAAGCAACAGCAGCCTGGAACATAATCCGGTTTCCACCTTTGGTAGGGATAGCATAGTGACAGCTGCCTTAGAATACCATGCATGAATTGGATAGATTCTCAAATACAGCGCGTCTTAATTCTCAGAGACCCACCTAATCCTGAGGATAGACTTGCATTATACCAGAGCTGAGATATATCTGTGCAAGCTACTGCACTGGGGAAATCATTGAACCGTTGAGTTTAGAATTCCAGCAGGTCAAGCCCCATCAGTATGATAAGGCAGGTTTATGCTGCATCTACAGGAAAGGGGATCTCTCTTGCGGGAAGTGGATCAAGTGCTAAAATGCCCAGCAAACCCACCTGATCTCAGATTAATGCTCAGAGTAGGGTGACTGGATGTCCCGATTTTATAGGGACAGTCCCGATATTCGGGGCTTTGTCTTATATAGGCACCAATTACCCCCCATCTCCTGTCCTGATTTTTTTGCTTTGAGCAGGGGGTTGGACTAGATGACCTCCTGAGGTCCCTTCCAACCCTGATATTCTATGATTCTATGATTCACACTTGCTAGCTAGTCACCCTAGCTCTGAGTGATAGGAATGCGGGGTGGGGGAGGGGTACTGGCAATGCAGTCATATATGACACACACAACTCCACTTACATCTAGATGGAACAATGTAATTTGGGTCCTGTAGTGTTCATGATCTGCCCATCAGTACAGGGATGGTTTCTTTTACATCCATGCAAGCTTAAGGTGCCATATAAACATTAAATGCTAAGGACCTGATTCACTCTTATGCTGAACAGTACCATATTCTGCAAGTAGTCCCATGCCCATCAGTGGGACCATTTTCAGAATTGGGTTCTACTCGGTGTAAGGGGGACAGAAGCTAGCCCTATATAATGATGACACTGGCTGCCAACTGGTTTCACTTTGTGATATGTCAGAGAAAGGATTCTCTATGCAAAATAAATTGCATTGCACCAGGTTGTACGCCTATGCCTTTCGAACACCCAGCGTAAAAATATCCCAACTATAAACCATTTCCCATTATCAACAGCCAGTTACAAACTCTGTAGGAGCTGAAGAAACACCTTATTTCCAGCCAAACAACTGAATGGCTGTTGGTTTTTTTTTTTAAATGTAAATGGCAGTTGATTTTCACAGTAATCATTTTATTACTGCTTCTAAAGTTGTTTGTTGTGCCAGTGCAGTGCAACATGCAATATATTTGAAAATGTAAAAAAATTAAAGGAGCATTGTGTTGAATTCTGAATAATAGCAATTCAGTAGCGTGTTCCTAATGTACAATAATGAGATGCTATTTTAGGAGGTGATCATGCTGATTTTAAAAACATATATTTAAGGTTACCCATTGTCAAAGCATAATGGGTGAGAATTAACCATTGCTTATAGCGTGTCTTCATTTTCTTTTTATGTTAACTCTTTAATTCTCTTTCCAGTCTCATATTAGGGCATGTGAGCCATCTCAGAGGATTTTTAAAGATGAAGTCTTGTCCTTTTCTCTAGGTGGATATTATTGTGCAGTTTTAACTGTTTATGTGGGCAGTAAAGTTTCCATTCAGGCTAAGAACAGAATCCTGATTTCCCGTTAAATTGCGTTGTTTATTGACAGCATTCCATAAACCTATAAATCAACTTCCTGTGACAGGATTGGTATAATAAAAGACAAGACTGTACTGTACTCTCAAAGTTTTTGGGGGCTTAGGGTGGCTTTACAGTCTTCAGAAATGTCTCAGTAAATCTACAATCTGTCACTTAGATTAAATCAGTATTTTCAGTGCTTCTGGGTGCCTTTTAAATAGTCCAGCTTGCAAAAGGCCAAATCGTGTTGCCTTATTCACTCATATGCTCCCAGTGGCTTCAGCTGAATGAAACTTTTGGTGCTGTCAATACGTAGCACTCAGATACTCTGGTTCCAATACTCCCCTCACGTATACTTGTTTTACGCTGTGTAACTCCACTGAGTTCCGTGGAGTTACTCCTGTTTCACACCAGTGAAAGAGCGTGGAGAATCAGGGCCTCTGTCAGTTTGGTGGAGATCATTTGAAAATCCGAATAGGATCAACTTAAATTGCGCGCACAAAGTTTTGTTCCAGCACCACCATCTGTCTCCCCTTTCCTTCCTGGCCTCCTCAGGCTCTGGTGTAAATAAAGTAGCTATAGGCAGGAAAGCTGGCCTGGTGACTAGGGTAATAGAGTGGGACTCCAAAGTTCTTGGTTCAGAGACTAGCTCTCCCGCAGATTTCCTGTGTGACCTGGGGCAAATCACTTAGCCTACTTTACGCCTCAGTTCCCTCTCTGTGAAATGGGAGGAGTACCTCAGGTAGGGGGGACCACCCATCCTGAATTGGGTGGAACAGTCCCAAAACGCAATGTTCAAGTCCTGGTCCAGGACTGAATGACTCTGGGACAGCATTTGTCCCAAATTTCTTGCAGCGTGGTTCTGCGCCTGCCCGAGGCTTAGGGGCAGCACCAGTCTCTTCCCAGTAGTGGGGGTTGGGGGGCTGAGGTGGGCATTAGCCCGCCCCCTCACTATGAAGCTCCACCCCCTACTCTTTCTCTCCCCCTCCCTGTGGACCTACCCCCTGGCCAGGCCGGAAGCTGCAGCTGGGAATAGTAAGCGCTGCCCAGGGAGTCCAGGCTGCTGTGTCCCCACCCTGCCCTGGGTGGCATGCCCTGGGGGGTGGGGACAGAGGCAGGGGCTTGCTCTGCCATCTGCAGTGGGCTAGGACTTGGGGAGGGGGGGAGAGGAAGAGGAGGAGCAGGGGGTGGAGCCACAGAGGGGGACAGGGCTCCTGCAAGTGTCCTGCTTTTGCCTTTTGAAAAGGTGGTCACCCTACCCTCAGGATGTTGTGAGGATAAAAACCCATAAAGGATTGTGAACTGATATCACCGTAGTGAGGGCCGATCGAGTCATGGCCAAGAATACCACTTTGCTGCACTGTTCTTAACCATGATTTCACTTCTTTCAGCTTAGTAGGAGAACTTCAATGTTGTGAGTGTATGGATACCCCTCACTTTTCCTGATGTATACATTGATACTATGTTTTTAAATATCTGGAGATTTTTCACTGCATCCCCATAAATCTCTCGCTGACTTTAGTGGGAGTGTGGGGGTTCCCAGGGGAGGCAGGGTCACACCTGTTTGTTATATTAATGTAAAATGTATATCAGATTTCAGACCATAATGAAAAACTCTTCTACTACTTTACTTCCCGCTGCCCATCTTCTGTGTAAGTAGCATCATGGCCATTAACACAAACACATGCACTCAGACCCCATGACTTCACACCATGGCTCCTCCTGGATGGAATTGCTATTGTGAATCATTTGTATTGTGCTGGCCCCAATTGGGATTGGGATCCCATTGCACTGGGCATTGCACAAACACCGAGCAGAAGGACAGTCACTGCCCCAAAGCGCTGATAGTCTAATTTCATAAGCACCAACTCCGTGGGTGCTTCGGGGCTGGAGAATCCACCGGAAAAAATAGTGGGTGCTTAGCACCCACTGGCGGGCCCTGCCGATCAGCTCCTTCCCCCACCCCACCGCCTCCTGCCCGCTGCTGAACAGTTGTTTTAGGCATTGACAGACCTGAGTTACATAGTGCTCAATATCCTCCTTCGTCTGGGGCCAACAGAAATGGTCTCTAGCAAGGTGAATAACTCAGTCAGCACCTAAGAGGCCGACATTTTCATGAACAACTGTTCAGCGGCGGGCAGGAGGCACTGGGGGGGAGGGGGAGAAACGGAGGCACGAAGAGGCGGAGCGAGGGCAGGGTGCACTCGGGGGAGGAGGCAGAGCAGGGGCGAGAAGAGGCGGGGTGGGGGTGGAGCAGAGGCAGGAAGAGGCAGGGCTTTGGGGGAAGGGGTGGAGTGGGGGCGGGGCCTGGGGTCGAGCGCCCCCGGGAAATCAGAAATAATTGCATTAAGATTCTTAAGAACACCCATGCGTAGTTAGCCATGTGTCAGCAAAGGGGAGAGTTATTCACAATGCAACCTGTTAAATCGCACCCACCATTTCTATCTATCTCTTGCCCAGGTTGCTTCTATCCACCCAGAATGCAAGATATTCCAACAGGTGGTGAAAGACCAGGCTCTATGTTTAGAAAAAAATGAAGCTACTTTACCCAACTTAAAAGGTGAGAGACATAGGCCCTATGTGGCAAAACCTGACATGAGCCGTCTTTGTTTGACTTCCATAGGGCTAGCCACATAAGCAAGGACTGCTCTCTTGAGTCAAGTTTTGGAAGGTTTGGCCTGATTTTTCTCATCACTTGTGCTCTGTAAAGAACTTGTATCTTGCAGCATCTATTATTTCTTTTTGATTGTAGTGGTGTTTGATGTTGATAATACACTTTATCTGTGCATTGCTTACATTCATAGCCAGTATTATAACCTTAGGTGGGGCACATCCTCTGCGGGGGTAATTTGTCACATGACCATTGGCTTCAATGGAGCTATGACAATTTATGCTAGTTGTGCTATCCTCACATCGCCCCTGTAAGTAGGCAATTACTATTATTCCCATTTTACAGAATGAAACTGAGGCACAGAAAATCTGACTAGTCCAGGGTCTCGCAGGAAGTCTGTGCTAGAGCAGGGAAGTGAACTGAACCTGAGGTACTAACCTGAGACTTAAAATACCTGAGTTCAGTTCCCTGCTCTGTTATGACTTCCTGTGACACTCTGGGCTAATCATTTAGTCTTTCTGTGCCTCAGTTTCCTACCTGTAAAATGGGAATACTAGTTATTTCCTACCTTACAGATGTGATGTGAGGATAAACCCATTAGCAATTTTTCTTGTTGCCCAGTTTTGTTTTACTGACTAAAAGAGCTCCTTTTTCAAGATGATTGTACAATTTTAGGATTGCATTTGCTTGACTCTTATGTCCACTTTCTCAAGAAAAGAAAAGAAACAGATGAGATGAAAAATGTATATGTGAGAGACTGTGTCCATGACTGTAAAACAGAAATACAACGTCCCCCTAAATTTGTGGAACTGCATGGGATTTAGCACAACCATGTGTCAGGCTGCCTGGAGTGGCTCATGACTGAGAGTGCCAACCTTATAGTGGATTAAGAAGCAGGACAGAGATCCCAAACTGGTTGTGTGTTCTATAATTAGATTTCACCAGTAGCAAGTGTGAACTCCTAAAGCACTAATACAGTCTTACCATGGAGTCACAGACAGTCCCCTTAAGCAATCCAGTCTATTTTGCCACCCAGGCAAGCTGGACTTACTGATAGATGGTTGCTATAAACCAAAGATCACAACATATTCAAGTTACTCCAAGTCCCAAAGGACCAGTCACTTACCCCAGATCAATTTGTACCTTAGATCTCACACCAAAGACAATACTTGTAGCCAATTCTCTAGTAAACTATCTAAGGATTTATTAACTAAGAAAAGAAATGAGTTATTACAATGTTAAAGCAGGCAAGCATAAATACGTAATTGTGGTACACTCTATGGTCTTACAAGATGACAGAGTTGCAGGAATCTGTCAGCTCCAAATGTCTTTTAGGCCAGGGTTAACCCAGTTTAATCTATGCTTCAGTTTAGTAGCTCTCACAGGAGAGTCCAGACAGCAAAAGAAATAAAAAAAATTCTTGTCAGGGATTTTTCTTTCTTCCAGAATCCAAGCTGATGGGATGAGTCCTTTTGCACACAGTCTCTTCATGAGTTCAAGGGGGCAATTAACAAAGTCTTTGTATTGTGATGTCCCACAATGGCCCATTTAGTTTTGATAGGCTTGCTTGTTGTGCAGGAGATGGTCCCTCCTGATTGGGTTCACAGTTTCAGAGCAAACATTTTTTTTCAGTTACATGCAAAAACGTAAATATTTCCTTATGGCAGGTGACAAGGAAAGTATAAGTGAGATTAATGCATACAGCAATTTACAAGCATTTCATAAAGTCTGAACGCTAAAGACGTTGTTATAAGCCCAATCCCCATCTTAACCAGTTACTAACACATACCTAAAGACAGGTTTCAGAGTAGCAGCCGTGTTAGTCTGTATCTGCAAAAAGAACAGGAGTACTTGTGGCACCTTATGCTCTAATAAATTTGTTAGTCTCTAAGGTGCCACAAGTACTCCTGTTCTTTTTACACACCTAAAGCTTTGGCAAGAGCTGGCACCTGGTCTGCCAGCATCACACCATGCCATTGTGAATCTGGGCTAAGTAAGAACTGCAGCTGAGTCTTGCACTTGGTCCACTGATAAAGACACGGGCAATCTTCCGGTAAGCGATTGCAAGACTTCTGAAATGCCTCGTTCTGCAGGCATCTCTTTAATTTCAGACTCTTTTTCTTTCCAGGATGCCCAGGGGATTGGGATGGACTGAGTTGCTGGCCCAAAGCCACTTTTGGAGAAGTGGTAAAAGTTGCATGCCCGGGTTTCTTTGAAGAAATCACCAACATACAGGGCAAGAATGTTTTTTTCCCCCCCGTTGTTAAGGTTCCTAGCCATTTAAAAATATGCATAAGGGCTAAGATACTAAAGCAATCAACATTCATGCATCAGGGCAGAGTTGGATCAAGTTCTGGGGCCCTGGGCTGGAGCAAGTGAGGGGGACCCGGCACCAGAACTGTGGCCCTGCCCCCCACTTTTGCCTGTGGCCCCACCCTTGTCCCACCCATGGCCCTGCCCCATTCCACTCATTCCCCTGCAGACCCTTCCCCGTTCCGTCCCTTCCCCCCGCATCCCTGGCCCCCACTCGCTCCTTTCCATGCCCCGCCCCACCCACTGTGGCACCGAGACTGGAGAAGCTCTGCTTCCGGGCTGGGGCGGGGGGAGATTTTTCTGGGGGCCCCAAATTGGCTGGGGGCCCCAAATTGGCTGGGGCCCCTGGGCCCAAGCCCCATTGGCATATGCAGTAATCTGCCACTGCTATCAGGGCATAAGGTTACTGGTGTCAGGAAGAATTCTTTGTCAGGGTTACATACATTCATTAGGTACATTTTTTTGCGGGGGGGGTTCTCTAATGTATCCTACATGCACCAATGTCCATGACCAGATAATGGACTGGATAAACCATTGATCTCCTTCAGTACACGAATACCTTCACTTGGACAGCTATACCTTCACAATCCCTTTGCCCATTCTGATTTGGTCTGATCTCAGCCATTTGTAAAGAGATGGAGAAAAGGCAGTAAAGAGTGATTTTTTGCAGTCATTTTGGGAATGCACTAGTACTTGCAATGGTATTGAAAGTAGTAGAAACGACATGCACAAATACAAAGGACATATTTGGCCCTTATGCACAGTAGCTTAGAAAAAAGAAAACTCTTTATAATTTGGCCCATTTTAGCAGCCCAACATTTGGAAGACAGAAGCACTTCCCAGCATGAATATGCTGTAGATTAGAATTGCATTTGAAAAGGTTGTGTTTGAATTTGATGTGGAAAATAAAAGGCCCTGAGCACCCTTACTCAAAGGAATAGTCCCTTTTAAAATAATCCCATACCCAATTATGCAGTCTGAAAGTTGATAAAGTTATCATTAAAGCTGGTGGAAACTAAGAATTTGTGTTCTATGGGAAATTCTGACCTTTCGAATTTAATTTTTGTTCCAAATTGGAATAAAAAAAAGAGTGATTGAAATTTCTCACAAAACTAAATTTTTGGGGGAAAAAATAGTGTCGGGTCATTTGAAATGTTCCATTTTGATAAAATTGAAATGTTTCGTTCGCATTTTGACTTTTTATATTTGCTATTATCATTAATAATTTAAAATAAAAAATTCAAAATGAAAAGTCATTTTGAAACGAAAAAGTGAAATGGCCCATTCCAAGAAGATTGAAATGCTTCTTTTCGATGGTTTTTTTTTCCTCCCCTTAAAAAAAATTTAATCAGAATTGACAAATTCCTGCAGTAAGTATCCATGTGGCTGAAATGGCATTTTTCAACAGTGAAACATTCATTGAAAAAAATGTTGGCCAGCTCTAGCAGTAATCCCTCTCACCATTTAAAAGCAAAAGCCAAATGCTGTGACAATCAGTGGGGAGTATCTTGCTAAAATAGTGGCATCATTTGTATGACTGGAAGGATGGGAGCCCAAATGTCAGAGCCCAGATAACTTTGTCTATCCTACTGTAATTGAGAGGCTGGATGGTTTTGCAGTGGGATCCTTGGAGCCAGGATTCCTGTTTTTTATTCCCGATTTTGTTGCAGATCCTCGGTGACCTTGGGCAAGCTACTGATGACTCCGCTAACGTACTCCTCTTCAAACTGAACTACATTAAATGTAAACTAGGAACCTTTTAGTTTGTGCCCACAACATCCATATGGAGGAGTTATAGTGTAGCACTTTGGTGCACCAAATTATTCACATCCGGGGCAGTGTAGACATAGCCTTAATTTCTTCATCTATACCTTCCTGAAATACTGAGAGGTTTAAGTCTTTCAGGCTTGGAAGTGATCAGAAATTATATGTGCTTTGGGATCCTTGGGTAAAAGATATTACAGAAATTCAAAGTATTGTTATTAATGCTATAAAGTGGGTATACAGTGTTGTAGCCGTGTTGGTCCCACCTTGTGTCTCTAATCAACAGGGCCGCCCAGAGGGTGGGGCAAGTGGGGCAATTTGCCCCGGGCCCCGCGAGCCCTGGCCAAGAATCCCTTTCCTGGCTAGAGGCGCCTTTTTAATTTTTACTCACCCAGCGGCGGCCTGGGTCTTCGGCGGCACTTTGGCGGCGGGCCCTTCAGTCGCTCCGGGTCTTCGGCGGCATTTCGGCGGCGGGTCCTTCAGTGCTGCCGAAGACGCGGAGCAACTGAAGGACTCGCTGCCGCAGACTCGGAGCGCCACCCGGTGAGTAGAAGCGCCACAGCGGGTGGCGCCTTTTTTTATGTCCGCTCCCCCGCTTTGCCCCAGGCCCCCTGAATCCTCTGGGCAGCCCTGCTAATCAACTGAGTAGTCATATGTCTTAAGACCCAAACTGGTTCTTAAAGGCACGATTTGGATGCATGACTTCGGTGCCTCTGTATAAAAATTGAGCTCACAGTATGCAATTCCTATATAAACCTGGAAGCTGCTTTGTTACTTTCCCGTTCGTTTGAATATTTGTCTCAGCCTATCACAAGGTAGATAGCTAAAGTGGCTATACAGAATTAAAGCCAATCTTGCTAAAAGCAGTTGGCACATCCAGAAGTATCGATAAGTAATAAAATAGATCTGAGGATTTGGGCACTAAGAATAAACTGTTTCTTGTCAGTGCTAAACAACATGGGTCATTTGCTGATGTGTTTCACTGTTTCAGGTTTTCTGCAAAGAAACTGTACACAAGAGGCATATTGGTCAGAACCGTACCCACCGTACTCTATTGCCTGCGGATTTGATGAAGGTTCCAGTAAAGGCCCTGAAGATCAGGTCAGTATTGGGTTGGAGATGCACCTAGTAGGAGCAAACCCAGAACTGCCCCCATGAAAACATCCTGAGGAATGCTGAATATACATAAGCCAGATTCTCTCCTTTGCTTTGACCCTACACCACGTAAGTGGTGCAAACGGCTGAATATTGACTGTACTGTCCAGCTGAGACTTCCCTGGGTGCTGGGGAGGAAGCTACCACAAGGCTGGTGGAGCTGACCCCTCCACCACCCCAACCCAGCCCCAGCATAGGTGGGGGTATCAGGGGCAAGGAGGGGACTAGGGCTAGAGGGGGATTGTACTCCGGCAGTTCTCAGCTGTCATATGGCCCCTTGGCCTAAATGACATCAGGGCTGGATCTGACGCAATGCAGGGTGGAGAATGGGGGAACCAGTTATGGCCCCTTCATCCTGCACTGAATGGATCTTGGCGTTGAAGAGTCTGGCCTGCTGTGTTCTGTATCTATCTGGATGGAGAAGATAGCCTGCTGCCTAACCCTTTGCTTCCCTGGGGGAACCCTGCATACAGTGAAAGGGGAAGAGTCGTCTTCACGGTTCCTTTGAAATTAGGGTTCCAGACACTTGTGTTCAACAGCCTTCTCTGAAGGTAGAAAGGATGGTCCAGTGGTTAGGGTACGTGGCTCAAGTCATTACTCTGCCCATGTGGCTTTGAGAAAGTAGCTTAGCCTCTCCGTGTCTCAGTTCCCCATCTGTAAAACAGGGACACAGCAGCACTGCCCTACCTCACGTGGTGTTCTGAGGTTAAATCCATCAAAGATTATGAGGTGCTCAGCTCCTGTGGTAATACCAGAGACGGTGTATAAAACACACTATGGGAGAGATAGTGGGGTAGTGTTTTCTCTGTGCACTCAGAACCCGAGTACCCTTTTCACCCTCACCTGTTTGGACTCCGCTGCTTACCGTGCTTCTGTCAGCTACCCCAGAAGGGGAAAGCGCCTTTGGCCCACCCGCCTGCCCAGGGCCATCCCTAGCTATTCTGGGGCCCTACGCAGCCCCCTGCAGGGGGCAGGCCTCTGTGGGGAGGGAGGCTGGCTTGAGGGGCAGGGGGGAACCACCTCCCAGCACTCACCAGCGGCACAGCTGAGGCCGGGTCCCTGCACTTCCCGCCGCCGGTGAGTGCAGGCCCAGCCCTGCTGCAGTCCTCAGGGATGGGAAGAGGCAGGACAGAGGCTGGAGCAGCACGCAGCTGTGCAGGGCACCAGGAAATTTGGTGCCCTACGTTTCCTGGTGCCCTATGCAGCTGTGTACTTTGTGTATGGTAAGGACGGCCCTGCACTTGCCCTACTCAGGGCCGGCGCAACCCATTAGGCGACCTAGGCGGTAGCCTAGGGCGCTACAATTTGGGAGGCGGCGACCGCAGCGGTATTTCGGCAGCAGGACCTTCCGCTGCCTCTGTGGGGGGCGGCATTTCGGGGTGGGACCTTCCGCCGCCTAGGGCGGCAGAAAAGCTGGCGGCGCTCCTGGCCCTACTGAACAAGCCTCCTGCTTTCCATCTTTGTGTCGCATATTACATAGAAAATGTTAGGGTGATTTCACAAAATGCCAGGATGATTCTCCGATGGGCAGGTCTACTGCCAATGTTTCTGGACCTATTTAAAATGGATAATGACTGTCTCCGCCTGGAGTTGTTGGCATCTCCTCAGCCTTTTGATAAACGAGGTTAGGGTCAGGATGAACTGGTGAACAACGTGGCACTTGCATCTGCCCTGAGGAAATTTGACTGACCAGCAACAAACTAAGGATTTTGATTCCTTACGATTTGGAATAAGCAGGTGGCCCTGTAGTGAAACTGAAAACAATTTGCACAGGCAAAGTTTGCTTGTGCTTCCTGTTTTTCTCAGGATACATCAGTACGCAACATGCCAAAATGAACTTAGTGGTGTTAAAGTGTAATATCAAAGAGGCAATAACACTTGGGTCTGGTCCACACTAACCCCCCACTTCGGACTAAGGTACGCCAATTCAGCTATGTTAATAACGTAGCTGAATTCGAAGTACCTTAGTCCGAACTTACTGCGGGTCCAGACGCGGCAGGCAGGCTCCCCCGTCGATGCCGCGTACTCCGCTTGCCGAGCTGGAGTACCGGCGTCGACGGCGAGCACTTCCGGGATCGATTTATCGTGTCTAGACAAGACGCGATAAATCGATCCCAGAAGATCGATTGCCTGCCGCCGAACCAGGAAGTAAGTGTAGACGTACCCTTAGGGTCCTCTGCACTGCAATCAGAGGTGTGACTGCAGCACATCTAAACCAACTGGAGCTAGCATAACAATAGCCGTGAAACCACGGCAGCACGAGCTGTACAAGTCCACCCGGGACCCTGGTTATATTCTTGAGTGGCTAGTCTGTGTAGCCCCAGCTTCACTGCTATTGATATTCAAGCTTGCCGAATCAAAGCTAGCTTCGGTATGTCTATGCATATTGGCAGTCACACCTCTGATTGCAGTATAGAAATACCCTTAGGAGGTTGAGTTTGAAACTAGGAATTAAGGACTCTGCGTCAGAGCTCAGAAAAGAACCCCATTAACACACCGTGTGATGTTGGGTCCCTCTCAACTCCATAATGTTTCAGTTTCCTCATCTGTTACTTTTTGCTTAGCTGTACCTACTCGCTAGAGGCTTGATCCATAGCCCATTCAAGTTCATTAGACTCCCATTAGTTCTGATGGGCCTTGCATGTGGTCCTAACTATTGAAACAATTAGTTAGTGACAGAATTTGCAAGGTGCTGAACACTGGTGACTGGCTAAGTGACTTCACCTCCCATCAGCTTCAATGAGAGTTGTAAAAGCTCAGCACCTTGAACCATCGGACCTTCACTGAGGATTTGGGATAGGCCACAGCTAGGCGCGTTTATCCAAATAGTCCCAAACATTGGTGCTTCAAATAAATGAAGTCCAGCTGCCAGACACTCCTTGTTTTGTGTCACAAATATAAAACCCAAGCCGCAAGGTTTTGTAAAACCAAGACATATCTTAACAAGACTTAGCTCTTAGAGTGAATTGAGTCTTTCTGGTAGCTTCAAGGGGCTTTGGATCAGGCCCATGTAGCACATTTATACACATCAAAGCCCTTTACACCGGGGGGAGGGGTACGTGTCACTGTTAGAGGTGGTCAGAAAATAAGGGCAGTGTTCTGCAGAAAAAATTGACGTTTTGTCAAAACATTGAAATTTTTCAGCCAAAATCTGAGATTTTCTGGTATTGGTTGAAAGCCTTTTTGGGTGTGGAATGGGAAAAAAAACAAAACTTTCCTTGTAAAATAGACATGTCACAAGAAAATGTGGTTAATCAAAAACCCAGTTTTCTGCTGAAAACCAGTTTCAAAGGAAAGTTTTCAATGAGCCCAAATCATTATCTGCATTTTACAGATGGGGAAACTGAGGCACAGGGCGGGCCAATGCCTTGCCTAAGGTCACCCAGAAGCAGGGGCAGCTCTAGCTTTTTTGCCGCCCCAAGCATGGCAGGCAGGCTGCCTTCGGCAGCTTGCCTGCAGGAGGTCCCCGGTACCGTGGCTTTGGCGTACCTGCCGCCGAATTGCCGCCAAATCCGTGGGACCGGCAGACCTCCCGCCGGCAAGCTGCCGAAGGCTGCCTGACTGCCACCCTTGCAGGGACCGGCAGGGCGCCCCCCACGGCTTGCCGCCCCAGGCACATCCTTGGAGCACTGGTGCCTGGAGCCTCTGCTGCCCAGAAGATCAGTTGCAGAGCCAACGCTAGAACTCAAGTCTCCCAAGTCCCAGTCTAGAGCCCCTATCCACTATAAAGCACTTTGGAGATGTAAAGTATAATTTATATTATATGGCTGAGGTGGCTGGGAAGAGAAGTGTTCTCCGCACCAAAAGAGCTTCTTTTGTAACTATTTACTGAAGTAAATTGAGCCTTAGTAAAATGGGCACGTTGGGATGAATGCTGCACATCCATCTATATTTTTCTATCTTTTCTTCTTCTCATAGAAATCATATTATTCTGCATTTTGGCATGTCTACACTGCTGGCTATGCGACATCTCTGACTTCACTCATTACAGCTCTCGTTATCTTTGCCATCTTCAGGTAAACGCTCGCAGCGGCCTTTGAGGTATTCCGAGACACTGTTCAGCTTCACCCTAATTCTCATGTCTGTGACTTGTCTCTCCAGTGGTTTTATTTTCCAGTTTTTGCATTCTATCACAGACACTATATTTCCATCCATGGTAACCTATTCTCCATCCCTTAACGTGTGATATTTCCCAGCAGACTTTAAAACAGAAGACTTGAATGTGTACCCTCTCACTATTCCTCCTGGAGGTGTTTTTTTTTTTTTTTTTTTTTTAATGGGACTATGGTTTGTGTCAATGCTGCATAACCACCTCATGATGGCCTCACAGTTCACATAGGGTAACTACTTTCCCCATGCTTAGCAAGGACATTCTCTCCATAAACTCCCGTCAGATGTGCCTGTACCATCCATTGAAGATTATAGGAGCTGTGCACAGAGATTGAGGGAAAATAAATTGCACAGTCAAAAAAGAATTAAATAAATACATGGAGGATCAGTCCATCAATGGCTATTTGCCAAGATGGTTTAAGGATGCAACCCCATGCTCTGGGTGTCCCTAAACCTCTGACTGCCAGATGCTAGGACTGGACAACATGGGTGGCTCACCCAGTTCTGTTCATTCCCTCTGAAGCATCTCGCATTGGCCACTGTCGGAAGACAGGATACTGGGCTAGATGCACCATTGGTCTGACCCAGTATGGCCATTCTGATGATCTTACGTGTGCTGAGTTTGGATGATAGGGGGCAGAACCTTTTGATTTTAGGCCACTAGTACAAATCCAGCCCTGGGTGGTAATGAATGGAAATCATTATTATTTAGCATCAACACAGTGACCTGTGCAATAAGAGACCAATCCAATATCCAGTGGAGTCAAAAGGGGTGTCTCTCCAATGAGCATTGAATCAAATCACAAATTGTCTCAGCCTGTTTTCCAGTGGATAGGCATGAAACCACCACACTTTCCATAGTAATAGCAGTAGAGGTCCAGGAACACAGAGAATGAGCTAACCTATTGCCTTGCTTCTAGAGATGGCTTCTCTAGTTCTCTAGTTCAAGTTGCTGGGGCACGACAGGGAAAGCGTGCCCTGCTGTACTTGTTTTGACTTGCTGAGTGATGTCTGAAGACAGAATTGATTCCTGATTGGTTTTTAGATGGGGCAGACTGAAATTTCTCTTTGAAGAGTGATTTCCCTTTTTATTTTCTCATTTCAGAAAATTCCACTGTACACGGAATTACATCCACATGCACCTGTTTGTCTCTTTCATCCTCAGAGCCACTGCTGTTTTCATTAAAGATGCTGTTTTGTTTGCTGATGAAAATATGGACCACTGCTTAATGTCAACGGTATCAACCTTTTCTTCTCTCTCACTGTATTTGATTTTACTGGTTAATCCTTGTTACAGAGGTAACGCTGAGATTTCCTGTATTTTGGTTTTATGGGGGAAAAAATGGGTCTGAGTTCATCATACACCTCTACCCCAATATAACGTGACCCGATATAACATGAATTCGGATATAACGCGGTAAAGCAGTGCTCCTGGGGGGGGGAGGGCTGCGCACTTCGGCGGATCAAAGCAAGTTCGATATAACACGATTTCACCTATAACGCGGCAAGATTTTTTGGCTCCCGAGGACAGTGTTTTATTGGGGTACAGGTGTACTTTAGGTGTTATGTTTATGGCATACACACAGACAAATTAGAGTATTTATGTTTTTATCTTTCAGGAGGGTTGCAATATAGCACTACTTTATTGAAAAGAATTTAAATAATTAACACACAAAAAAACCCCAAACAGAGAGACAAAACAGGATGCTCCCTAAAACAGAGAGGCACAGCTCACCCCACTTTACTTGAGGCTATCTGTCTTCAGACTCACTCTGGTAGGCCCAGATCCCATGCTTTCCTACAAGGATCCCTAGCCTGCAGGCAGGATCAGGATCCATCCCCACCCTCTTACAGTGATAGCTTGCGATTCCAAGATGGCCCTCAATATACCAAAGCAGCAAATCACGCAGACGCAGAAAGAAATACCAAGGGCCAAACTCAGCTCTGGTGGATGAGGGTACAACTCTGTCAACTCCAGCAGAGTTGCATCCGCTTACATGAGTAAGGAGTTTGGCCCACAATGAGGCCCAAATTTTCACTTTCAAACAACTGTACACAACTCACTAGAATTGTATAATTTATGGGTGTAACCCAAACCCTGTTGATGTCAATGATCAATCTACTGAGTTCAATAGGCTTTAGATCAGAACCTGTGTAAGTGCATATTTCTCTTGGTTCACATTTTTCCAGCTTTTTCCCAGGACCTTTAAGATGTCTAACTTCAGAGACTGCAGCTAATATTCTCCTTTTCCTGTATGTCTCTAGGTTGCATGTAAGGTTGCAGTGGCATTCTTTCAGTTCAGCATTTTAGCCAACTTCTTCTGGCTCCTGGTAGAAGGGATGTACTTGCAAACACTGCTGCTGTTGACATTTGTTTCTGATAAACAGTACGTGTGGTGGTTCATTTTGATTGGCTGGGGTTAGTACACTCATGTTTTCTCCCTTTGTTTGTATATGTGCCTTCTTACAGTTATGCCTAGAGCTCTGAAAAACATTTGCCGTAAGATGCATTTTCTATGAGCATTGACAATTCATGAGGTAGCACATGTTCAATGCAACTGCAGCATTTTATTTATTTTTGTTCAAAAATTCCCAGGTGGAAATTTTGTCAATCTCTAGACACCCCATGAAGTATCTGGTGGTGTGAGTGTAATGCACTAATCAAGGGATGGGCAACCTTTGGCACACGGCCTATCAGAGAGACCCACTGACGGGCCGGGCTGGTTTGTTCACCTGCCGCGTCTGCAGATTCGGCCGATCGCAGCTCCCACTGGCCGCAGTTCACCATTCCAAGCCAATGGGGGCTGCTGGAAGTGGCGCGGGCCGAGGGATGTGCTGGCCGCTGCTTCCAGTAGCCCCCATTGGCCTGGAACGGCGAACCTCAGCCAGTGGGAGCCGCGATTGCCCGAACCTACAGACCCTGCAGGTAAACAAACCGGCCCGGCCCACCGGCGGATTTCCCTGATGGGCCGCGTGCCAAAGGTTGCCAATCCCTGCACTAAGCAGTGTGGCTGTATAGGTCTGAGAAACTGGAACTCATGAGTTCTAGTCTGATCTTTGCCTTAAGAATACTTTGGACTAAGATAAAACTTCACCTGAATTATTTTCATCAGGCCACACAATGCCCCCAAGAGGGAGATAAACGTAATTACCCTCACTGCACACCTGTGGCGACCGGCTCTGCGTAGCAGGTTGGGTGTTCCAAAATGGAAGCACCCAAAATTAGTGGACAATTTTGAAATGTTTGCCCAAAAGTTGAAATCCAGGCCCCATTGAAATCAGTAGGAGTTTTGCCACTGACTTCACCGAAGACAGCATTTCACATTAGGGGTCTAACACCGGGCACTCGGAGTCTAGGGCAGTGGTCACCCAGTGGTAGATCACGATTGACTGGTTGATCCTGGAGCCTCTGACAGTCGATCGCGATCTCCGACCACTAAAAGTCTGGTGGCGCAGCAGGGCTAAGGCAGGCTCCCCGCCTGCCCTGGACCCACGCCGCTCCAGGAAGCGGCCAGCACGTCCCTGCAGCCCTTCAAAGTGGTCAGGGGACTCCGTGTGCTGCTTCTGCCTGCAAGCACCGCCCCCGCAGGTCCCATTGGCCGGGAACGGGGAACTGCAGCCAATGGGAGCTACAGGGGTGGTGCTTGCAGGGAGGGGCAGTATGCAGAGCCACATTCCCCCCCCAGGGGCCACAGGGGTAAGTGCCGCCCAGCAGGAACCCACACCCCTCCCACACCCCAGCCCTGAGACCCCTCCTGGAGCCAGCACCCTGTATCCCCTCCTGCACCCCAACTCTGCTCCAGCCCTGAGCCCCCTCCCAGAGCGAGCACCCCATACCCCTCCTGCACCCCAACACTCTGCCTGAGCCTGGCGCCCCCTCCTGCACCCCAACCCCCTGCCCCAGCCCGGTGAAAGTGAGTGAGGGTGGGGGAGAGCAAGCGACAGAGGGAGGGGGGATGGAGTGGGCAGAGCCTCGGAATGGGCGTGGCCTCGGGGAAGGGGCGGGGTAGATCCTGGGTTGCACTTAAATTCAAAAAGTGAACTTGTGCGTAAAAAAGTTGCAGACCACTGGTCTGAGGCATTTAAAATTAGAGACCACTTTCGAAAAGGTGGCCCACAACCTTTGTGAGCTTCACTTTCCTGATCTAGGAAATGAGAGTAAATATAGTTAGCCGTCTCATAGGGATGTTGTGAGGCTCAGCTAAATAACACTTGTTAATAGCTATCTAATTGCAAACTCTGATTAAGGCCAGGAAAGAGCAGAAGTGGGAATAGATATCACAAATTTCTTGATACCAGTTATTAGATTATTAGAAGGAAGTTAACTAGGGTGGTGTGCTGCCTCTTATGCTCTTCATGATGGAAATATACAGTCTCCCATGTGTTCAAAGAGTTACATTGGAGGAGGACTAGAATCCTCTGCCCAGAGTAGTCCAGAATTGCAATAACTATAGGTAAGTAAGTGATTTCTGCAACCATACAAAAGCTTAGAATTCATAGGCAGGCCTTTGTCTAGCTCTCTGCCTCAGTGGCTCACCAGCCTTTCCTAATCCCCTTTTAAAATATGTTTTTTCTCTCTTGCTTATGTCTCTTGACTTCACTGTTCTTTTATTGAACTGGTGCCTCAATGCGTTGTGTGCAAGATCACTCGACACCGTTGTTTGGCACTTATGCTATATCCCGTCTGCAGTTTTGTAACCCTGTAAAGTATTCAGACTGGAAATAAGATGTATCATTTTCATGGTGAGAATAATTAATCCAATTTACCAAGGGTTGTGGTGGATTTCCCCATCACTGACCATTTTAAAATCAAGATGGGATGTTTTTCAAAAAGTTCTGCCCTAGGAATTATTTTGGGGAAGTTCTCTGGGTTGTGCTAGGCAAGATGGGCCCAATGGCCCTTCTGACCTTGGAATCTCTGAATTTGGGGATCAGGTTTGCATGGAACTCACTGTTGAAAATAAAGCCATGTTGTATTCTACATTTACTCTTCTAGGAACTCCCAGTGCGGTGATGTGTGCTTGGATCCTAACCCGAATCTACAGACAGAATACAGGGTGAGCCAAAATCCTAATTCTGGGCATTGCCTTTGGCACAGTAAATGTGATTCATCAAGAAGGGAGAGTTAAAAAAGAACCAAAGTTTTTAAGCCTAAGAATTTGCATTTCTGATCTTTACAATTCAGAAATAGGCAAATCGGTTTGAGAACGAGCTCCTGATTTACATCTGACTGCAGCGGCAGCGTTGCCAGCTCGTGATTTGATCAAAAGTCTCACAATTTTGAGAGATTTTTTCTGAAAGCCCCCACTGCTGCAATCATGAGATTGCAGGAGAACCGTGGCTTTCGATTTAAAATACGTGTCTCGCCCTCGTGGTTGCAGGGAAAACTTGACAATGTGAAGCAAGTGCCCCCTGCAGCCAGAAGGCAAATAAAAGGAACCAAACCCTTATTATTTTTCTAGAGGTGGTGGTGAGTTTTAAGCCAATCAAATGACTGGGCGGGAGGGATTGGACTCTGTTTTTGAACATCTGGGGTTGGCAATACTGTATGTGTGAATTCTTGCATTTGAACGATTATGCTGTGTATTGAACTGTCTTGCATCTGGCACTCACCTCCTCTGTCTTTTCACACAATCTCACCACTCCTGGGGCAAGAGTCTTATACCTTGAAGCTCCTACCATCTGGAACAGCCTTTCTCTATCTCATCAACTTTCTACCTAGTCCTTGTATCAAACAGTGCAAGCTTCCCTAGAGCACCTGGCTAGTAGGCTTCAAGTCTGGTTTACTATTAGGAGTGGAAGATTACTTCCATTTTCATCTCCATTCAAACCTTGGTTTGACCGCAAAGCCTCTCAACTTGAGGGAGGGGGGAGGGCAATATATCACAGATGCTTGGTTATTAGGAGCTGAACTTTAGTTCTCCAATTCACTTCACACCGGCCACAAGATAGGAACAACTTCTTCTCCTTCCCAAGCTGGGAAAGATTCAGACCAATGACCTAAAGGTGAAAGGCTGTCTAGCCCACCGCCACTCACCTGACCCATGCAGTCCGCCTTGCTCCATTCATGTTCATGTGTGCTATCCAAATATATCAGTAGCAAAATACCTCATCATTGTAGTTTGTGTAAATGGTGGGGGGATGTCAGTCTCCACCTTCTCATGGCACATGCTCCTCTCATGTAGCCTCTAAGGTATAAGGACGAATTCAATGTCCTTCTTTTCCCGGGATCTCCTCATGTGGAAAGACTGCAAGCAAGCAGACAAATTACTATTATCTTGCACTTATTCCATATGCAAAAATTCCTTTGATTTCAGTGGCAGAACCAAATCTGGAAAAACTGTACTTGTCTTTGATGATAGAAGGGGTTCAGGGAACGGTGATAAGAACAATCAATGACCTGGAAAAACTCCCCTCTGAAGAAAGATTGAAAAGATTGGGATTTTTTACCTTACAAAGGAGATTAATAAAACTGGACATAAAGTATATAAAATACCAACTACTCTAGAGAAGGTGGATCGGGAGCTTTTCTTGTCCCTGTCTCATACGCAAGAACAAGACCCTCAATGAAATTGAAAGGTAGCAAATTCAAAACCAATAAAAGGAAATATTTATTACGCCCTGTGTAATTAGACTCTGGAACTCACTGCCACAGTATGTCGTCGATGCCAAGAACTTAGCAGGCTTCAAAGAGGAATTGAACATTTGTGGATAATATGAATATCCAGATTTATGATCAGTTATATCCAGATCAGTTACTGCTGACGGAAATGCCTTGATTGGCATTAAACCTCATGCATCAGGGCTTAAGCCAATCTCTACCTATTAGAGATCAGGAAAGACCTAATACGGTATGTCGACACTTACAGCGGTGTGCAGAGTACAAACGCCACACTCCCAGCCAGCATGCGTATAAGTAGCAGTGTAGATGGTAAGAGATGGCTTAGCTGAGTAGAGTAGCACAGAGTGCCCTACATGTCTGAACCCCCAGGGTATAGTCCCTACGCAGGCTCTCTTCACACCCAAGCAGTGCCTCTCATAGCTGCTTTCAGCAGTGTAGTGTCCTGCTGCCTCTCCACTGCCAGAGCCTTTCCCCATTGCAGCAAAAGGCCTCAGCAGTGGGGCCTGAAACGATATGTGCTTGCACTCTATATGCCGCCTTAAGCATAGACATAGACCAAGGGGACCGGTTATCTCATACCTTCCTATCATTCAGTTCTTGCACCTTCCTCTGGTGCAGCTATTGCTGGCCACTGCAGGAGACAGGATGCTGCACCAGATGGACACTGTGCCTGATTCAGTCTGTCTGTTCCTACTCTGTTCATTGTAGAGTGGCTAAACCAACGGAGAAAATAAAATCCAGACTGGATACATTTCCCTTCATCCTGGAGGCCCACGCTCTGCTAGTTGTTAACACCACAGCACATGCACCTTTTAGCTGAAGGGGGAGGGATAGCTCAGTGGTTTGAGCATTGGCCTTGTAAACCCAGGGTTATGAGTTCAATCCTTGAGAGGGCCACTTAGGGATCCAGGGCAAAATCAGTACTTGGTCCTGCTAGTGGAGGCAGAGCACTGGACTCCGTGACCTTTTGGGGTCCCTTCCAGCTCTATGAGATAGGTATATCTCCATATATTAAGCCCTGGCAAAGAAGTGAGGCGTGCTCTGGATTTACTGCAACTGAATCCAGTCTCTCTTCTTTACCCTGAAATACAGCTACACACAGCAGGGGAGAGAGAGAATTAATGAGCAGCCTGAAATCAGGATAATGTCCCCTTCCTTGTTCCACTTTGGCTATGTCAACATTTACAGCGGCGTGTAGTGTGCAGCCATGGCACGTCCCCCTAGCATGGATATAAATAGCCGAGTAGATGGAGAGGCACAGTTTACGTGGGTAGAGTAAAGACATGCCAGATCCTTAGGGTATGTGCCCTGCATGGCTCTCCAAAACCCCCCAGCTGTGCTTCCCACATATATACTTTTCTATTTTTACAGCTAGTGTCCTGCTGCGAGAGCCTTTCCCCACCGTAGTGAAAGGCTCCGGGAGCGGGAAAAGGTTCTGGCAAGGAGGAGGCAGCAGGGAAAGGCTCTGGCCTTTCCCCCTGGCCTCTCTGCTGCCAGAGCTTTTCACTGCTGCATAAAGCTACGCACTGCAGTGTGAATTCAGCCTGTTTTTCACTGCAGCGTGTAGCCACATGTACCCTAAACGCTGCCACCTCCTCTACCTTTGCCTCCTGCTGGATAAGCCTTCTTTGCATTAGGCTATAGAGCAACCTTCTTGGGAGTGAAAATCTGCAAGAACTTTTGGGAGATGCTTTTAAATTGCTAACAACAAGAGTTAACGACAGCCACTTTTCTGTACCAAGACTTGAGTCATTTAATATTCAGCACAAACCAGATCAGGTAATTATTTAGTTTCCTGTTTCAGATGCTGGGATGATGATGATGAGAATACAGCAGTGTTATGGATCATCAGGGGACCCATACTGCTATCTGTATTAGTGAGTTTTGCCTTTGATCTGTTGAATCCTTTGAAGAACTGAAAGCTAAGCACATATCTCGTTTCAGTCAGACAGGGATGCAGTGCCGCATACCACATTTAATTTGTTTTGAATTTTAGGAAGCTGGAAATTGTTGCATAACACTTGCTATATTGTGAGTGGAAGAGAGACAAGCAGCAGTGAAATGCATGAAAATGACAAATGAAGGGCAGAATGTTGCCCTGGGACGTTTGTCTTGTACTCCATTTCAGCCAATGTAAGCTACATGCGTGCGGCCAAAATTGGCAATAGTGCAAGATCACACACAGGTGATACAAGGCTAATTACTCAGAGTTTAATGCTAGGAACATGCCTAAATAAGGACACTCTTGCATCATCTATGCATGATCATTGCACATTTGCAGGTACAGGAACATTTAGCCTTAAAGGCTCATTGTGTAGAGTAATGTGTAAAATCATCTATTTTCTGTCACTTACTCATGCATCTGGCCACAGCATCCATCTCCAAAATGTGAGGATGTACTTAGATTGTAAACTCTTTGGAGCACGAGGTGTCTTTTTGTTCTGTGTTTGTACAGCCCCTAGCACAACAGGGTTCAGCCCACGACTGAGGCTCTTAGGAGCTACCACAATACCAATACATAATAATAAGAAAGGGCTTGTGACATGCCTGTACTTAGTCATTTATCTTTCCCCTGTTTTTATTCTTCTGTTTTCTCTCCAAACCACTGAACAATATTGCCCCTCTACCCAGACTCTCATCAGTCTTTTCTCCAATTTTATGCGAGTGCATTTTGCACTTGAGCCTTTAGGATGCATATTTAGGACAAAATTTGGCCATTGTATATGCAAGCAGGACTCGTACGGACTTCAATTGTGTTGCAAGATCTGTTTTGTGGAACGTTATAGAAATGAGCATCAGTCAAAACTTTCAAACGGGTGCCTAAAGATTAGCACCTACATCCATCATTAGGCATAAAAAAAAAAAAAGACCTGATTTTCAGGCTCTGAGCAGGTAAACCTCCTATTCAAAGTCATTGTGGAAGCACATCAAAATTGAAAATCAGATTGTTTACTTAGGTGCCGAAATAAGGATTTGGGGGTGTCACTTTAGGCATCTAAGATAGAAAACGTTGCCCTTATTATTTATTTGATTGTGTAAAGATTGAGAACCAGATATTCAGTTGGCATAAATTGGCATAGCTGCTTTGACATGGATGGATCTACGTTGATTTGCACCCATTGAAGATCTGGCTCCGTCTCCTAGGAAGCTTAGAAACCCCTTCTTCTCTTTGCAGATTAACTTTATTATATTTGTCAATGTGATCAGAATTCTGGTGCAGAAATTACAATCTCCGGAAGTCAGCGGCAGCCAGTCTAGTCATTTTGTGTAAGTGATGATATCTTTTTTTTCTATTATCTCCTGTTGGATCTGGTTTAAGATATTGTTTCCTGGGGGTGTCCCCCCTGTGGCCTCTTCCTCAATAGTGGGGAAGGTAACTCCCAGAACAAAAAAAACCAAAGTCGAGTTGCCGCCTTGTTTCTAAGGTATGAGCAGGTAAAATTCTGCCCTCTTTTTCTAGAGGCCTCCATATAAAGTTCTCTCCACGCTAGGCCACCAACTAGGCCCAACTGAAAGTCCTGCACCTAACAAATTGTAATCAAGTTAACACGCTCTACTTAGGTTGGCTCCATGCTTTGCCACACAATTGGCCCCTCCTCTCTCTCTCTCACCGTTCTTATTTTATGCACATCAGCTATGCCCTGTAGTTTAATGAGCTCCAGATGGATCTGGTTCCCAGATATTTAACTCCTCCCATTCTGGTTCCATACCCCCTGGCATATCATGCCCTTCCTGAGAGACTCAGCCCTGCCAACCTCGGAAATGGTCTCTTAGAACCGCTCAGGGGACTGGTTGGCTCATGGTTTTGGTAAGGCTGGAGAATTTCAATACTAGATTGCCAGTCCAATCCATCCCAAAAGGCATGTTTGATTATCTATGTGAAAAGAAATGGTACATCCATTTCAAAATGGACAGATGGCCCCATCAGAAGAACCACCATCATGAGTACCATAGACTGGCATCCATGCCCGCTGACACAGGAGAGAGAAAAAAGATTGCAAAGGCATAGAGAACGAATGACCCTATCACCATTAGACGCACATTGGCTTTGCACGTCGACGACAGACCGTGCCTGATCTGTAGATAAATGGAGGATTTAGGTCTTGTCTACATGGTGCAGCCTAGGGCACTACAGCGGTGTTATTTCTAAAGCGCATTAATTGGTCCGTGTGAATCCTGATGGTGCACACTGAAAGTTCCCTCATGCACTTTAACTATTACACACCAGCAGGGTCTACACAGACCAATTAACGTGCAACATATTAGTGCGCTTTAAAAATCCCCTCCCCCTCACAGTGTGCATTTCTACGCTGTGTGCACAAGCCCTCAGTCTCGATTCTGTTAGTTTCCCACCTTCCATTAAATTCATTGAAATGTTGTCAAGTCTGTCATGTTTGTGTTTTTTGTTTTTTGTTTTCATTTCCCAGGAGACTAGCTAAATCCACCCTGCTCCTGATCCCACTCTTTGGAGTGCACTATATCGTGTTTGCGTTTTGCCCAGAAAGCACTGGATTGGAAGCTAGACTTTATATTGAGCTGGGCTTGGGCTCCTTTCAGGTATGATAAATAAAGATAGAATTAAGAACTGTCTTGACCGTGCCCAATCCAGGGCGGGTGACTGAGTGCCTTACCTGGTGTCTCATGAAGGCTGGGGTGTGGATCACAATGAGCTGGCTGATGTTCCATCCAGATAAAACAGGTGATAAGAGTAGGTTAGGAGAAATAACATCAGTCTCTCTCCTTCCATTGTTAGTGCACCCACCCTTCAATTCGTAGTCTGTGGGTTCGGTTAGACCAAAAACTTCCATTATGTGATGAAGTAGCAGCTGTGGCCAGGATTGCTTTCTCTATCTTCTCATGGCCAGAAGAGTATGGCTCTTCTTTTGGATGTAGACCTTGCTTCTTTCATCCATGCCTCTGTCACTTTGCGATTAGATGACTGCAATGCACACCTGATGATGCTACACTTTAAGTGTATTCAGAAGCTTAATACTGGACTGGGATACGAACTGCCCACGCAGTGACCATTACACCAGTGCTCCATGCTCTCATGGCTACCTGTTGGCTTTGAGACAGAATTTAAGTTGTTGCTTTTGACTCAGGTACACTTAAATTACCTGGGACCTGCCTATATGAGAAACTACCTCTCTTGTGTCATTTTGCTGGGGTTGCAATGAGTCACCATGCACTAGCTGGCACTCTCTGGTTCTTGGCAGGGTTTTCTCCCTGGAATGGTCATCCGTTCTTGGTCAGAAATAGCCTGAATCTCTTAATGTTCTGGGCAAGCTGCCAGGCACTTGCGGGGCAGGGGGGGCAGAAGGAGAGCGGGCATGAGACATGCTCTCTGGCCTGCTCTATCATGGCTGGATTTTGTGCCATGGTTTATTGCACAGTTTTGTAGGCAAACTGAACGATTGGCAGGATACACAGGGCGATGGAGAGGCACCTCCTTGGCCTTAGAAATAGAAAGAAATACACCAGAACTGTAATTTTCAAAACTGTCTAAGTCACTTAGGAGCACAAGTCCCATTGAAAGCCATTGCTAAGTCATTTAGGAGCTGTGGAAATTCCACCCTGAAGAAATATTTTGCCACAAACAGTGTCTATAAGGGAAATTGAAGTTTTTATAGTGTACTATTTTTCAGCCTCTTTTGAATCAAATTATAGACACCGGCTGTGCACATGTACTTACTGGTAAACTTGCAGCCCAAAGGAGAAAGCATGAGGTGGAAATGTTGACCCCCGAGAATGTAGCTGTCCTTATCCCATGGTGTGTCTACTCCAGATGCTCTCTGTGATAGGCCCCAGGGAGGATTAGTCCAAGGGAGGAACCAGGGGTCAGGGTCTGGTCTGATTGTTGCAGAAAGATATTTTCAGGCTTCTGGGAGAACATTTAGGGGTGTATGAGCAGAAGCAATTGTCTGTTCCCTTTTGGAAAATATCACACTCAGGTACTTAAAAAACACACTTTCATTACATAGCTGTGATTACATGACAGGTTTCTGATGATCGCACTGATGACAGTCTTTGCCTTATTTATAAAGATGCTGTCAAAACCCGCTGTATAATTATAGTCTTATAATTCACGGCTACATAGTTTTAAAAAAAACCTTGGCTGCCTAGGATTTCATGCTATACACGCAGGATTGCATGCCAAAACAGGGCTAGAACTCAGATCTGCCTGCTCCAAAAACCCCAGATCCCTTCTACTTGAGCTAAAGGAGAATTTTGGTTAGCTGCTAGCAGTACAGGGCCCCTCTCACACAGGGGAGCAGTTCTGATTATATCCATTAGAGGTCAGTGGTGCACATATACAATATCAGGTCCATGACATTGTTTAGTCTAAATACGAAAGTCATATGAATAGTGTCACGCCACCAAAATACTGATTGGAAAAATTATGTTATTGTGTGTCCTAATCAAAGTATTAATTAGGCTGACGTCACTCTACAATTATCTGTGCTCCAAGGCCTGTTGTGCTGAAGTTCACCTTTTTTAGAAATAACCTTTTTTTCCCCCTTAATTCCCTAGGGCTTTGTTGTCGCCCTTCTATATTGCTTCTTAAATGGAGAGGTAAGTAGCAAGACATGCAATTGCATAAGACTTTTGAAACTCAGGGGCCTCCATTGTTTTCCTTGTGTTCCAATTTCCAGAATAGGCCATTGTGAATTACTTTGATCTGCTCCTGAAAGCATGAAATAGCCTTATTGGTCTTCCTGCCTGTGTTTCTCTACTTTGTCTAAATACATGTAATTCTGGTCTGCTACAGGAAGGCACAACATCAGCTTTGAGATAGTGACCCCTTGACAAGGGGTCAGGGATTCCCCTGTCATGAGAGAGTCTGTTCAATTAGTGTCTCTGGATACATATCGAACCTCTGTTCAGCTTTAATTTCCTCTAGCAAGCTCTTTTCTTCTCCAGGGCAGCCTGTGTGGTTCCAGATACTCTTGTTCAACCTTATGCTTCATGTTCTTTGATTATTGTTAAGACTCTATGATGTACTTTGGAAAATGTAGCCAAAAGTGCCATCTGTTTTAAAAAGTGGCCGTTTTCCAAAGGAAGATGCGGGATTTTTTTATACTATATATGTGCTTTATGGAGCTTGCAATGTGCATGGCCAGAACTTACCTGAATTTGCCCTGTAAAAAGAGTATTAAGAAGCCAACTAAGGCATAAGCAAATATGGATGTTTCAGTTGGGATTTTTCAAAAGCACCAAAGCAACTTGAGAGCACGGGTCCCATGGACTTCCAAAGTGATGGGTGTTCCTAAGTCACAAAAGGGGCAGATTCACAAAGGTACACAGCACCTAGTGGCCTCCTTAGGCACCTAAGTCCAACGTTTAGGCACCACTGACATTCTCAAAACCGCCACTCAGTTGCCACCCAACCCTGCAGGTGCCTTAAATTCCCACTGGTGGATACGTGCAAAGTTGCCAAAGCCCTGATGCCACCGCACAGCTAACCCAGTCGTCGGGATCAAACCTGGGACCTCTAGAGCTAAATACATGAGCCTCTACTGCATGAGCTAAAAACCACATGCCTCTTAGCTAAGGCTACAGCAGAGTCATTAATCTCTAAGTGGATTTGGTGCCATTAGAGGGGACAGAACACCACACCCAGAGCACCACACCCAGGAGTTGTGGGGGTTAGACTGATATTGCCCTTTAGCTTACATAGTGGTTCACCCTCCCTGGTATTTAACCCCACAATATATTTATAGAGACCAGCCATATCCCTCCTCAGCCTTCTTGGCACATGCCTACAGGATTGGGGCCCACACAAAATGCAGCTCCGGGAGTGGGTCTGGGTGTCCCAATAGCCGAGTGATTAGGCCACTCACAAGGGCCGTGGGAGACTTGAATCTGACTGCTGGGACCATTGGGCTATAGCATCAATCCCCGACCCCCTCTGGCCAACGAGTGAGTGCCCCACCCCAGAACACGCAGTGCAGGCTGGTTGGGGTATACAGCTGGGATGTAGTGACCAGCGTTCATGTCCGTGCTCCAAATCAGGCAGCGTAGGGATTTGAATTCAGGTTTCCCAGGTGAGTGCTTTAGCCATTTGGCTGCTGGTTTGATGGGATGGGGGGCGTAGGTGCCGACTTTGTAATGTGCCGGGGGGGGTGCTCCCCCTGGCTTCGCCCCAGACCCCGCCCCCGCTCCACCCAAGACGCCACCCCCACCTGCCTCTTCCCACTCTGTTCCGCCCCCTCCCACGAGCGTGCCCCACCCTTGCTTCTCCCTTTTGCCCCCCCCCAGCACCATGGAACAGCTGATTGCGGCGGGCAGGAGGCGCTGGAGGGGAGGGGGAGGTGCTGATGGCGGGGGGGGCTGCCATTTTTTCCCCATGGGTACTCAGCACCTATGGATTGGGGGGAGGGGAGCTTTTGTGAGAAAGGGCTGACCTGGCTTAGGCGTCTAACTCCAGGGGAGCATTCACAGCTGAGAATCTCAAGCAGAGAGAGTCACGTAGAGGCTCAGATCAATGGGCATTAAATAACTAAATAGCTAAGAGGGTCTAAACCTCATCTCTTTCCTCTGTGTTAGCTAGCTCCTGGCTAGCTTAGGCGGCTCCCCGCTCAGCGTGCTGGCTTCCGAGAATCCCTTTTGTAGGTACCTAACACTCCCCATACAATTCAGGGGGAGCCTGGATACCTAATTCAGGGCTTTGTGAATTTTGGAAGATTCCACCCTGGTACACTCCAGTTCAACCACAAGTTATGGGCTTGATGCAGGAATTAGTGAGAGAGGTTCTCTGGCCTGTGTGGAGCAGCAGGTCACACTAAATAACCCTAATGGTACCTTCTGGCCTTAAAAGATTTCTGCAGTTCATTTTAGGTTACACTTTACATGGGATCACGCTAATATTGGGACTATAATTACGGCAACGATTTAGTCATGGGTATTTTTAATAAGTCATGGACAGGTCATGGGCAATAAACGAAAATTCATGCCCGGTGACCTGTCCACGGCTTGTACTATAAATACCCCGACTAAATCTTAGCTGGGGAAAGCCGCTGCTCTAGGGGGCCCCTGGTGGGTGGGTCCGGGGGGAGCTTCTGCTCTGGGGCAGGGTGGGGCAGCTGCTGGGGGCCGTTGAGCAGCAGCTCATCCGGCCACCCCCTGCGTCCTGGATGCTTTTGAAAATCAATCCACTTGTTTAGGCACCTAGATTAGGATTTAGACACCAAACATTGGGCAGGCAATTTTTTTGAAAATCTTAGCCTAAATGTCTGTGAAATTGGAATAGCCACATTCGTTCTATGTCTCCCTCTTCCCCCCCCCCTTTTCGTTCTTTTCTTTAGGTTCAGGTTGAATTAAAGAAGCGACTGCGCAAGTGGCAGTACCAAGAGTACCTGAACTTCACCCGCAAACCTCGGCGCATGTCTAGAGAAAACAGCCCCGTTAACTATGTCACTCAGTTATCACTGCTTGAAAAAATCAGCCCTAAGAGGAAAACCTCCCTCTTCCGGAATGGCACATCCTCCGTGTGAGCCTCCCAGAGCAAGCTCAGCTGTTGCAGTATTGTCTCCTGAAAAATGAACGGAGGGAGGCCAATATGGAGTCTCTGTAGGGTGACCATATTTCCCTATGCTGAATACAGGACACCGAGTCAAGCGAGGTCAGTGGCAATCAATCAGAACTATGCAGTACGAATGTTCAAATGAACATCAAGTTGACTGAGCCCCCGTTAAAAAGAAATACTGCGGAGTTGGATTCTTTTTATTTACCTTCTTATCTTTAAAGCTCTAGGGGTCACACAGGGAGGGGTGACTCACACACTCCTACCCACCCCCACACACAAGGAGAGGTGACACCCATACACCTCTCTCACAGAGGGTGGGTGACTGACTGACCTGACCCTCCCTGCCTGACGCGCTTCTCCCGCCATGCCTGGCTGGGCCCCCGGGACGGACCCGCCTCTTCTGGTACCTGGCGCCACATCTTCCCAAGGCAAGACTTGGGGGGACATGTGGGGTCACATGCCCCCGCCCCTCAGATTTCTCCCAGGGTTCACACCAGAATGTGGTCAGCAGCAACGTTTCGGCACTGTGCAGGAGGAAAGGGACGGGAGCTGCTTCCAGCCACAGGGCAGGAGGATTGGGGGAAGGGATGACCTGGCCTGTGTCTTTGCAGAGCTCATCTCTCCTCTCCCCTCCTTCGCTGGAAGCAGCTTGTCCCTTTCTGCCCGCACAGTGTCGAAAGGCAGCTAACACCCCCAGGCTGCCGCTGGCCATCGACATAACCCAGCCGCCTCCTGTCCTCCTGCCTTAGGGCTGGAAGGGGTTAAGCCCTAAGGATGCATTGTGCACCAGGGCCCAGGGAACGTCACTGCAGGGTCTTCAGCAAACCCGGCCAGAGATGTGGCTCAGCAGGGGAGGGGGCCTAGGAGCACCCTAGGGGATGGAGCAACCCTGCGTGCCCTGGGGGCAGGACCCAGTGTGTGGCAGGGTAGGGGATGAAGATGGTGGTAAGCCCCTGCCTGGGGAGCTGCGGTGGAGCCTACAGGTTCAGGGCATAAACAGGCTGGAAATCGCTTCCCCCCAACTCCAGAGCTTAGCCGAGGGGCGGAGAGGCTTCCCCGTGCCAGCGCTGTGCAGGGCTTTGGCACATGCAGGGCTCGGCTCCTCCTGGCCAGCGCCCTGGGCCAGAGGGTGTTGGGCTTTCCCGGGGTGCCAGCCCAGCCAGAGGCAGTGGGGGAAGGAGCGTTGGTGTTGGTGAGCTGAGCGTTCCCACCAGAGGCTGGTTCTCCGCACAGCGCTGGGAGCAGGATGCGCCCGGCTGGTAGGGATATGGAGGAGCAGCGGGGTTGGGGGTGGGTGAAGGGGAAAGCGGGGAGAGGACAGCGAAAGGGGGAGCACGTAAAGGGCTGATGGGTGGGCAGCAGAGGTGACACGTAACTGGTCACTGCCTGGCACCTGCCCGCACTCACAACCCATCACAGCGCACAGCCAGTGCCAGCCGCAAATAGGACGGGGAGCTGGGCTTTGCTGGCTGCGAGCTAGCATGCAGCAGGGGCTGTGCTAATGGATCAGCAGGGGGAGCGGCCAGATCCACATGCTGCATCTTCGCCCCGCCACCAACCTTGAAGACCCACCCCCATCATTGGCCACGGGACCCTCCCCACTCACCACTGGTGGGAGGGCGACTGGTGAGCAGGGATCCGGCCAGCAGCAGGACCCACCAGCACTAATGGGGTGAGACAGAAAATATGGAACAATTTGCCCGTTTTTAAGAAAAAGTCAGGACACTTGCAGGAGGGCTTAAATACGGGACTGTCCCTTTAAAAACGGGACGTCTGGTCACCCTAATTCTCTGTGGATCCTCATGGTGGAACTTCTTGTCCCAAACATCTCCCACTCCTCACTCCTGGTGCAGAGAAATTAGGGACCTGATCTTTCATTCCTTGAGAATTCACTCCCTTAGGTACACGGACCCCAATCCTAAACTACTGTAACTCAACCCAGTGCCATCGGGGTCAATGAAACGGCACCAAATTACACCAGAAGGGGAGCTGGCCCCACCTAGCTACATGATCTTGGTTGCTCAGCTTGCGATAACTTAAAAGATGACTGCATTTCAGAAAGTACAGAGCATCTTTCAGGTATCTAAAAGGGTGTCATAAGGAGGAGGGAGAAAACTTGT